CTGCATCTCAACACCTGCTAGAAGGGAAGCATCCCCTGATGAGTGCTCAGCAATTTGCAGCTCAGAATTCCAGCGTTTGCAGCAGCCTCATCTGCCTCCATCACCCCTTTAACACCCAGAGCGCTGGGCGACGTTTGGTTGTTTTTCACACAGATGTGTTTGATTAAAGAGACATTTCACTGTGTTACGAATCAGAATGTGTTTATTCAGGAAAACACTGCCTCCCCACCCCCACCTCCATATTTAAACTGCAATAATTAACAAAACTTTTTTATTCGACACAATACAATTACGTTGACATGTGTCTATTGCTAAAGCCCCCAACGCACTGTCTCACAACACAGGCTTATATATGAAAAAATACCCTTTACATATAAAGGTTCTGATATTCTGCACACTATCTGCTTGCCAAAGGCAGAAGTTCTGCTCTTCTACCACTGTCAAGCTTGAAGAACTCAGCTGAAGCCCCTGAAATTACATTCATATAAAGTATAAACAAATCACATGTTCTCTTTTTTAAACATGAAACTTATTCTTCCTCTTGAGCATAATCTTTAGAAATACTCCTTTTCAGACAGTTTCTTATGTCAAAGCTCACTCACTTCCTTGGAGTCAGAGCATCAGTAGAGCTCATTTGGCTCTTCAAACTGGGTTTTATACAGATTCTTCACATTTCTGTGGTTTCTTTTCTTTTTCTTTTCCTTTATATTCCTTCTTCTCCATTTGTTTTTTTATAAGAATGACAAATAGAAGCAAAGAAGAAGAAGCAGAATAAAACAAACAAACAAACAAACAAACAAAAAAACCCAGGGAGATTCATAAAACTGAAAGAGTGAAAAAAAACCCAACAAACTAATAAAAATTTCCTTGTGAACTCTTAGTACTGAATTTGTGCTTAATTACAAGATGTTGTTCTCCTCCTATCAGTTCTGCATGGGTCCAAGCAATATGCAGTGCTGGGAATGAAACGACCCAAGTTGGAAAGGCTTCTTTGCATGCACACATCCAACAGCTTTCCCAGTTGGTGTTGGTGTTTGTAAGTTGTCCTCTGCTGGAGAGCCATGGGCTTTCCAGGAGTCTCACAGCCTCAATGCACTCAATAGGAAGGTGTAGAAAGTGCCCATAAGTGATCAGGCCCCAGATTAAACAGTCTTTGAATTCTGTTGTCTTGACTGGAGCTGATGAGTGCCGGTGCTCAGTGGACTCAGTGCAGACTCAGTCACCAGCTGACAGTGTTTAACATAGGCTGCTAATTTGGGTGCTGTGACTCACCTCCTGAAAGTTCTTGCTTCAAGCCGGCTGTATAGGGAAATGGTAATCCTAAATTTAGATGCTGTGGATGTAGTTGAAGGGAAATGGTGTGCTAATACCTGCAGGATATGGCATCTCAGGAAAACATGATGGTTTTACTCATGGTGTACATCATCCTCATCTTGCAACAGAGGAGGGTAGCAGCTGCCTGTGAGCAGCCCTTGCAGCCCAGGGGCAATGCTGACTGCAGAGGGGATGAAGGCTCTCTGGCCCCATGGCAGGAATTGTGTGCCAGGAGCTCTGGGCTTTCACTCTCCTTGAAGCCATTTGAACATTCAGAACGTGCCATTCTACTTCGGTCTCTACTCTCACCCACCCCAAACCTTCAAGCTCCCCGAATCTGTTTTGAGAACGGCCATTGGGGATTTTTAAACATGAGCTCATCTGGGTGGGGGCACTGCTGCAGAACAGACTCAGCCAAAACACTTTTCCAAGACTTTGCTTCCTCACAGTTTATCATGTTTTCTTCTAGTAGTCCTACAGTCACCACGAAAAGGGGTTTTGAGGTCACAGAGTGCAACCCATGCTGTCACAGGGGTTGCTTGTCAGAATTTGCTTTCTACAGCTCTTCCTCCTACAGAAGCTGCCTTTGCCTTGAGGCTTTCCCTTGCTCCTCACACCCAACACCACATGCTGCATCACTTCCACTTTTAGGAGATGCATCAGACAGAGGTCCCCAAAAGTTAGTGAGGCTCCTCACTAACTTTGCTTTTTAAGTGGTTATTCATGCCAATTAGCCCCTTTCTCCCTTTAACCTTGGGATAGAGTGCTTGAAAATAAATTGCTCCTAATACTGAACTATGAAGACGAGCATTCTGAAAAAGAGCAGATTCATTTAAGAGCAACAGCTGAGGCTCCTCAAGAGGAATCTGTGTGTGTAAGAGGAACACAGAACCAGGTGGGCACATGGCTGAAGGTCAGTGGTGTGGATCCAGGTGGGATCTTTAGGAGAGGAGTGCTCATTCTGGGGTAGCACACAGCCCCTGAGTCGGCTTACAGCACAGCCATGGATTCCTCTCTCAGTGATTGCAATTTCCTCCGTCTGGGAAATGTGGAAGAACATAAAATGAAACAAAACCATCAGCCAAGCAAATGCAAATCTCCGTGTCCTCTGTAGGCGCTCACGCAGCCTCGCAAACGAATGCGTGTCAGATAAGCCATTTTCAGATATGAGCTCTGAGAAGTTTGAGTTCAGGTCAATTCCACAGGGGGTGTCGCTGAGCCTTCTGAAGTGCAGTCCATCCTGGACTCAAAGCCTCGCAGCTTCAGGGAAGTTCAGCTCCAACTCTACAATATCTGGTATCAAACTTGATTTGACTTTGATTTGCTGGCCCTTGGTTGAGCTTGGATGGAAGTGAATTGCACTGGCTTGACTTCTGTTTCCTACTGAAATTTCTTATGGTACTTAACAACAGCCAGAATTAAGCCAGTAATACACTTTTGTTTTTTTCTGTCAACCAGAGTCACAAATAATGGCATATATCAATGCCTGCGGACACTTCTTCAAGCAAAACACAGTTTAAGAGTGTGATCCCTTCTGAGAAGGGTGAGATGCTGCTGCTTCCTCCCTGGTCAACTTAGCAATAAATCACACACACATAAAGCAGCACATTTGCCAATCTCACAACTGGGGGAGGAATTTTCATGTTTTATCCATCACTTTAGCACTGTCACTGTTCACTCCTTGGAGCATCCAGGGCTCAGGGAATTGCAGGTTGGGGTGAGCAGAGCCAGTGGGAAGCTGAGACCACGGGACCGGGTCCTTTCCCAAAGCGTTGCCATGGATTCTGCTGAAGAGCCGTGGCACTGTGCAAGGAATCAGCATGGATTTACTTTTTTTTAGCAGAGAGTTGTTGTCAAAAATAAACTGCCCCAAAGAACTGGGGAATCAGAGAAGGAAACGTGATGAAAGAGTGAAGTGACTTAGAGAATGCCAGAAAGCAAGGAGGCTGCTGCTTGGCTCAGGGCCTCGCTTCAGTGAGAGCCATCTAACAGTTTTACAACCAATGGCAAAATTGCACTCTATTAATGAGCCCTCTTTATGGCTCTAATTTATTCTTAGTTCTCAGAGGCCATGGAGTAGAGGCCAAATAGTTTTATCCCTCGGTATTAAAAAGCCACGGGCTGAGAAGCTTAGTGCTGCTTTGTCAGGATTTTCTCCATCTGGCAAAGTAATAGAATAAAATGATCCTATGAAAAGAGCTCCTTTAGTTTTTTTAAATAATGAGCTTCCTCTTTCAATTCCAAGCACTTAGGGAAAAAAAGGTGGGAGTGGAGGGAGTAAACACATATTTTCACTCATTAGCTGCCTTCTCAATATTCAGGAGCTATAGCTCCTAACTGTCAGTCCTGCTGACACTTCTCTGGACTTTGGTGGTACTCATCAAGGCTGTGGCAGATAGAAGTTAAAAACCATGTTCCAAGGTGGGAAAGATTGATGGGGTCCAGAGGGGTGAGGTGATGGCAATGGAGGTGACAATGACACGAAGATGTCAAGGGGATTCTTTTAAGTTTCTTTAATGTGGAAAGAAAAAAAGAAAATGAATTTCGTTTTCTTTTTTTCTTTGGTCATTAACAGCAGAAGGAATTTTTGTTTTTGTCAATGTTTATCAAAACAGAAAGTAGATATCCATAGCAGTGAGTCAGCCTGACTATTCCTGACCCTTTGAAAGGTTTGTCGCGTTTTGAAATCACCTGGTTCACGGATTGAACCCTCAAGAATGTAGCAGGAAATATCACCAGTAAAAAAATTACTTCCATGAGAAGCCTATGCTCACACAAACTGATCATCAGATAAGTCTGAACAATAAAAGATTTCCGGGGTTTTGGAAGCCAGAAACTCATTTCTAAGCTAAATCCATAACTAAAAGATTTGGTGTGAACAGTTCACCCAGTCTTAGTCATGTGAAAGGAAGGATAAACAGCCCCCAAGGGAAAATGCTGAATGCCAACAACAACTGGCCGCAGCACAACCCCGGTGATGAAGGGAGAAGAGGAAAGCCTGAATCCTTGGCAACTTTTTCCTACATTCTCTCATGGTGAGAATCAGGTTTTCAATAAAAGCCTGTGTTACTGAAATTCACGGAGTACGAGGGCCTGAGGTTGCTTCCATCATTCACTGCCTCATAACTCAAAGAAGATCAAATGAAATCTGGACTGTCCGAACGCCGCAGCTCGTAGCTGAGCTCTGAAATCACACACAGAATCACAGAATCACAGAATCACCTGGGTTGGAAGGGACCTCAAGGATCATGTAGTTCCAACCCCCCTGCCTAGCAGGGCCACCAAACACACACATTCAGATCAGGTTGCCCAGGACCCCGTCCAACCTGGCCTTAAACACATCCAAGGACGGGGCATCCACAACCTCCCTGGGCAGCCCGTTCCAGGGCCTAACCGCTCTCCTTGTATAGAACTTCCCCCTAACATCCAACCTAAATCTTCCCTCCTTCAACTTGGATCCATTTCCCCTAGTCCTGCTGTTGTCAGCCCTTTTGAAGAGTTTACTCCATCCTTGGAAATAATCCTTGGAAATCATCCTTGGAAAGTTGGAACCTCAGATCTAAATCTTGGATTTTCCAACAGTTCAGATGTTGGGATGCATTCACACAGCACTGTGCTGTCGTGTCACTCAGGGAACTGCCAAACAGGCAGGGCACAATTTGGGGGAAAGTATCATAACAAACTCCTTTGTCACGTGGCACAAGAAGATCATTTTTTTAATATTAATTATGGAAACGCCTAGAAGTTCCAGGTGAGAACAGAGGCTGAACATGGTGCATATACAAAGGCTCATGCCCCGAAGAGCTTAATTTTAAATAGAGAAGATGGATAAATAGTGGAAAGGAAAACACTTGGAACTAAACTGCATAAAGTTTGTAGCAGAATGCAGCACAGAAATGTTTGGTGAGTCCCCAGTCTCCTACACTCTGTCCCAGAGTTTTAGCTACCAGCCTGGGAGTGAGCAATTTCCTCTGTCCTTAGTATGATCTACCCATAAACTCACTCCAGAGTTGTGGTTGCATGCTCCAGTTGAAAGGAAAGCCTTAATTACAAGCGTTGGTTGTTAGGTTTTTTGGAACGACTGTGTCAAAATACCATTCCATAAAATTCAGATCAAAAGGATTTCCCCATCTCCTGAGCACAGGCAATCTGCCAGCAGTGCTTTAGTCAAGAAGTTTTGTAATGTGTGCTCTTCCCATAATCTGGTTGCATTTCGGGCTGTGTTTGCACTGCACTGCTTGGAGGACCCGCTGCCACATCTGTGCTGCTGGATCTGCTGTCCAACAGCAACCCTACCACCACCAAACCAGAGCAACCTGACGTCTGCCAGGTGTGTATTGCAGTGTTTTAAGATTTTGTTCTGGGACACAAAGTTCCTCATTTACCCTAGCGATGAGGTAAGATAGGAAATGTAAAACAAGGTGTAGCCTAGTAAAAGCAGGCTGCCATCATCAGAGGAAGACAGAGAAAGTCTGTGCAGCAGTGGGGAGTCAGAGAGCTCCTCACATCTCATCGCTGTACCTCAAGACCCCGAGCACATTATCGTTGGGAAGGTGAATTTCATTCAGGAATTTAGGATGGCTGAGTGTTACTGATATCCGGTCCTCCACGTTCAAGTACGTCAAATGGAGCTGGAACAAGGTCTTAAAATTCTTTTCTTGGCACGAGTCTGATGCACACCACGTGGATAACGTCTGCCTGTTGACTTCGTCGTTGACGAGGAGCTCTATCTTGAGGTCTGTGGGGCTGTGGGAACAGTTGGCAAAGCGGAGGTTGAGGTGGCAGTAGATCAGGTAGAGGCCCTCTGCACGGATCACCAGCTCCTCGCTCTTGCACTGGATGTTGTCACATATACCCTTCCCAGCCAAGCTCAGCTTCGAGCTGTTTACTGAATTTGACACTAGAAAGAAAAGCAAGGACATTGTGAAGTGAGCCGATGAACTCTGGTGGCCTAGATTCAGTTTTATGGATGTGCAGTTGTGGTAAATGGAGACACGTGCTCTGCGGCTTTCCCAATGGAGACTCTTGGAGAGGGCCCCAGTGGGTGGCTGAGCACTCATGGGTGCATTGGGGTGCTGAAAGGTCCCAGGGATTGTGCAGCCCCTTGGGAAACCCAAGACAGGGAGGTGCAGTGGGGAATGGCCTTCTGAGGTATTTAGGGGGAATAATGGAGATAAGTATTTGCACGTTTGTGTGGGGAAGGTATCTAATTATTTACTGTCTCTTTTGAAGTTAAAGAAAATGTTTACGTGATTGGATACAGCTCCCACTGACCTCTCATGTACGCAGCAGCTCCCTTGGCTGGGACATTCTGCAGGATTCTTAAATAGTCTTCAGAGGTGTTCCCTGAAGAAAACATCACAGTAGGTGAGCACTCCTGATTTCTTTGTGCTGTCAAAAAGTCAAAGTCTGGCACTACATTCAGTACCACCAGGCTGGGTAAACACCAAGGGATGGGGGGGGATGGAACTGAAGGGGAGGGGAAGAAAACGGAAGGGAAGGGAAGGGGAGGGAAGGGAAGGGAAGGGAAGGGAAGGGAAGGGAAGGGAAGGGAAGGGAAGGGATGAAATCCTTTAGGAGCTCTTCCTTGTGCTCCCTGACAACTTGCTTGTGCTGTGCCCACTGATCTGAGCTCCCTGGGATGATGGACGAGCCGAGCAGCCAAACTCAGCTTCAGCTCAGTGGATGCTGCTCTATGCTATCACCAGAGCTGTTTATTTCCACCTAGGCTGATGATGTGAGACTGTTCTATTCTCCTGGGCACTGATTGGCCTGGGAATGTCACTATTCACCCATCCTCTTGGGTCTGGACCTGGATGATCTTTAAGGTCCCTTCCAATCTAAGCCATTCTATGATTCCTCACAACTGCACAGTGGAAGATCCAAAGCAACAAGCAGCAGCCCACATAGCCCTGAAAGCTGTTTCCTTCTGCTTGACTGGTAATACCTGACCTGCACGCTGATTCCATACCACCGTAATGCTCTCAGTTCAGTAAAACTTGCATCTTAAAACGGCTTTTAGGGTACTCTACCCCCTCCTTTACAATGCGGGTTCCAGCAGGATTCCGGTGCGACCTTTGGATCTGAGCGCTGCCTCAAATGACGCCCGGTCACCTCGGCCCCGCTGCTCGGCTCGCGGCAGGAGGAGCTGCTGGGCGGTCCCAGGGCAGGGCGGAACCAGGGCGGAACCGGGGCGGTACCGGGGCTGCCCCATCGCACAGAGCCCGAGAGCGGCGGCCGCGCGGTGACGGCTCCCTCCCACGGCCGCGCCCGGCTCTGCATCCCGGCTCTGCATCTCCGTTCCTCGTCCCCTCCCCGCATCCCGGCTCTGCATCCCTGACCCTGCACTCCTCAACTTCCTTCCCCGTTTCACCTCTCTTCCAGCCGTACAGAGTCAGAATCGTTTGAGTTGGAAGGGACCTTAAAGGCCATCAGGTCCCACTCCCTGCAGTGCACAGGGACACCCACAGCTCCAGCAGAGCTCAGAGCCCTGTACAGCCTGACCTTGGCGGTTTGCAGGGATGGGGCATCATCACCTCTCCGTGCAAGCTATGCAGTGCCTCACGTGCCCATCTGCTTTCCCTAAGCCTTTCCTCCTCTTATCATACCAAACATTCACTGAAAGGCACTGATTATTCCTCCTTTATTCTCTGTTTGTATGCAGTCCTCCACAGCTCACGTGCATAAGGACACAGGGACAAGTTGTATATTCAGGACAGGAGAGAGCATCTCCCTCAGTGCAACCAAGCAGGTGGATGGTTATTTCTCACTGCATTGATCTCTCCCTCTTTATATCTCCTGGCCCTCCTGTAGCCGGGGAAGGGATGTCGTAGCAGTTCAGATGGGGGACTGGGAAGGAACGAAGCATGAAGGAATTTCAGCTGCATCCTGACAAATTATAAACTCCTATCTCAGGGTACACAAATCATTTTCCTGACACTTAGTTGGTAACGAGTCCCCCAACCTCCAGGGGCTCCTGAAGAAGCAATTAACACACCCTACTGAACTCTACTACATTGTGATGCTATGGCACGGCACGGGGTGACATATTTCTTGTTCCTCACCTAAGGCATAGTGGGAGTCTACTAAATCCAAAGTGAGCAGAGAATCTCAATGTTCATTCCTGAAACTAAAGGTACGAGAAAGAACTTCAGACCTTTGCAATGTCTGCTTGGCCTGATTTTAAGAGGCGTTTGGTCAGGAAGATGGAGAAATCAGGGAGAAGCAGGTCCCACAAAGTCCCACTGGTTGGTGTTTTGAAGCAGTGCACCCTTTGCACTCATTCTGTTGGAAAAGCAGTCTGTGCATGTCTTGAAAGAACAGTAACTTTCCTCTGCTCCCATCAGCTGCAGCAGTTTTAGGGGAGCAGGTGCTCCCTGCCCTCCAACAGTGAGTAAATCGTGTCTCAAACTCCCTTAGCTGTGCTGGAAATCCCCAGAGAAAAAACCAAAGCCGGCTTTCCTGATGACAGTCATATCAATATAGTGTGTTAGTGTACAGAGATGTGGAGCAGGATAGAAAAAAAAGCCCTTCTAGTCCTTATTTCAAGCAACAAGAGCAGCAAAGGTAACAAGAGCCACTGGAAATGCACAGCCACTTGCATTACTGATGTCCTTCATACAAAGACAACATTTATACAGAAACGTGGTGCCATGTGGGGGCTTTACTCTGTAGAGCAGAAAACCCCCTGCTGCTCAAGCAGACTGTGCAAGCTGCAGCCTTGCAGCTTCTGCCAGGTGAGAACAGCCCTGTGCCCCCCCACACACACAGCTGGTGGTGCATGGAGCCCCTCCAGCCCTGAGCTGCTGCAAGGTTTTCCCTGCATCTCTTCAGAACAACCGTCACTGATGTGGCTGCACTTCACACTCTGAAAGCTGCACTTACGTTCGTTGATGTCAGCAAGTTTGAGATGTGTGTGTTTGAAGCGTTTATTTGGTGACATCAGCTGTGTTTCTGAGAAGGCAAGTTATGGGAAAAAAAAAGGTACAGAGACATTTCCTGTCCTCGCTCTGCTGAGGCAGCTTATAGCCATTTTCTAGTTTTATTTCTCAAGTTACTCCTTTTATCCAAATCATTTCAGCACAAGCCAGCGGAGACTGAAATTGCCAGAGCTGCAGGACTGATCGATGGATGTGTTCAATCACATCGCCTAATTGGCTCTGCACTGGTAGGAGTGTAAATCAGAAGCGATCCCACTGAAGTCAATAGGATTATATCTGCTTATAAATGAGGTCAGAAGGGGGAAAAGCAAAGCCTCAGCGGGATCTAAGCACCAAAAAGCCCCACTGGTTGCATGTCCACCATCAGACTGCTTGAAGGAAACCTGCTGATAAAGAAGGAGACTTAAAGGAAGTTATCATCTGGGCTATTTTATCCTAAAGGAACTATTGGGAGATAATTCACTTTTGCCTTCCTGAGACCTTTTACCATAGGCTGAGCATCCACAGTAGGCAGCCCACAGGGAAAGGGACAGGCTGGTGTGCCCATAACACAGCTCTCCTCCACCACACCTGTTTGATAGTGCTGCTGCCCCACTGACACCTCCACAACTTCCACCCACAGTGCAAAATGTTTGTGTTGAAGCAGCAGGCTGTGTTTGCTGGCCAGGAGGAACCTGGATGCTCCAGGACAGGGCTGGACCTGCTGCCAGACAGGTCCAAAGAGAAGAGGATCCAACTGTGTGCTCTCCTCACTGCTTGCTGCCTCAATTTCCCCACTTGTGAGGTGGGTATAGATTCAGGACAGTGAAATGAGGAGCTGGAAGTGGCATGAAAAAACAAATCATCTACTCAGAGCCTGCTAACCCAGCAGCAAAAGCCCCACAGATGGTGTTTTCGAGGATCCTCCTCATCTCCAAAAACAGAAACTTCAGAAACATCTCTTTCCTAATTTCATGAGCTCTTCATATATGTATATATATATATATATATATATTCATCTAGTACCTGACCAATCTGTTGGCCATCTATGATAGAGTGATGGCATCATTAGACAAAGGAAGATTAACTGATGTCATCTACCTGGATTTCTGCAAGACCTTTGAAATGGTCCCACATCACATTCTTATCTCTAAACTGGAGAGGTATGGATTTGAAGGCTGGTCTGTTCAGTGGATAAAGAGTTGGTTGGATGGTCATAACCAGAGGGCTGTGGTCAATGGCTCTGTGCCCAGGTGTCCCCCAGGGTTCCATCTTGGGACCATTGCTCTTCAACATCTTTCTCAGTGACACAGACAGTGGATCAAGTACACCCTCAGTGAGCTTGCTGACGACACCAAGCTGAGCGGTGCAGTTGGTATAACAGAAGGAAGGGATGCCACCCAGAAGGACCTGGACAGCTTGAAAAGTGGGCTCATGTGACACTAATGAGGTTCAACATGGTCAAGTGCAAGGTGCTGTGCTCGGGTCGGGGCTCAGCACTTTTTAGCAATACTGATCAGCTCATTATTAATTAAACAAGCCCTAATTTTGACTAGCTGGCACCACTGTAGGTGTAGTTTCCCCTGGATGTTTGCTCAGGAGGATGAAAATAAGAAACACAGCTTAAGAGCCCTGATCTTGCTGAGACCAAGCAGATCCTTACAGACTTCACAACACACACGTCCTGAAGCTGATAAAGCTAAAACCTGCATGCTCTAAATGTGAGGTGCCCATTTCTGGAGTGCTCACTGCCCTGGGATCAGTAACACCCCGTGATTTCAGTGGTTTGCACTGGACAATTCCAGGATGGAAGAGAATATTTTCAAAGGTTGAAAGTCAGTCCAGAACCATGGGGATATGGCACTGAGGGCCATGGTCAGTCGGCATGGTGGAGGATGGGTTGGGGTTGGACTTGACGATCTGAGAGGTCTTTTCCAACCTTAATGACTCTATGATTCCACATTTCTCTTTGTATTTTCCTCTATAAAATTAATCTGTCAATAATTTCCTTCTGGCACCTTTTAATGCGTGATTCCGTGTTTATGAAACGTAGATGAGTTTCCAGAGAGAAATATTTCCACAGAAAGAATAAGTCACAAACATTTACTTTGTGACAGCTTTAATTCCTTTCCCCTGTTGCTCAGGCACTCCATCAACAATGACACAGGTTTGCAGGAAGTTGCTATCATATCTTCACACCAACACTTAATTAGCTGACGTTGCATCTCAGCTACTGCTTGCAGATTGCTGCAAACCCATCCATAGAGGGCTGACAGCTGAGTCAGGAACACAGAACTTCTGTAAGTCAGCCTTAGTGCCCACCGGTGTATAACTAAGAATAGAGTGTGATCTCGTTGGAAATCTTAATGCAGTCAGTGTTTTTCCTGTTTTGGGATTACAGAATTAATTTGGGAAGAGGCTGTGCCTGGTTCCCTGGAGCACTGTCCCTTTGCATGGCAATGCAGTCATAGAATCACAGAATGGCCTGAGTTGAAAAGGAGCACAATGCTCATCCAGTTCCAACCCCCTGCTGTGTGCAGGTCGCCAACCAGCAGCCCAGGCTGCCCAGAACCACATTCAGCCTGGCCTTGAATGCCTGCAGGGATGGGGAATCCACAGCCTCCTTGGGCAACATGTTCCAGTGCCTCACCACCCTCTGGGTGAAAAACTTCCTCCTAATATCCAACCTAAACCTCCTCTGTCTTAGTTTAAAACCATTCCCCCTTGTCTGCCTTCAGTCCCCCTTCAGTCTGCCAGCATGGCACCATCATCCACCATCAGCACTCTGATGGTTCCGCATCCCCGTGAGCATCTCTGAGATGCTGTGCACAAGCAGACACCCTCACCTTGCGCATCAGATGGCTTGGAACAAGGCTCAGCACCCAACCTTGGCCACTTTTCAACACAGGGCTTCATGTCCCATTGTGAACCAAATTACACTGTCAACACTGGGGCTGCTCAAGGCACAGAGATAACAGCAAACAAATCCCCAGCACAGTCCCTGCAGTGTGGAGTCCCAATTTGCTGCTCTGCAGCTGCTGGATGGGGCCTCACAGTTCCTGCTTAGGAGTCAGCAAACGCTGCCTGGCAGAGCTCCCTGCTGTAAATTACCCGCTGGGATCTATTAATCAATTAGCTCTGCTTTATGCATTTTAAGAGAAAAATAAAAGACCATTGCAATTTGCTCACACTTTAATGCTCCATTACCCTGCCAGAGCTGTGCAACAGAACCTGATAGGCTGATAGAGCACCTGCACCCATTGCAGACAGCTTCCAGCAGCCCTTCCTGCCCTGTGGCATTTCTCTGTCATCCCCTCCTTTGTCTTTATGCTAATCTCAGATTCGGCAGCAGAATTCAGAGCCATGGGGAGCCTGCCATTGATATTGACCCAAAGGCCAAACGTTTTCTGCCTAATGAAACAACACCTTGTAAATTCCTGGAGAGAACAGGCTCCTGCTGCCTCGATGGGGAGAAGGAGCAGTTGACGTAGACTGAGATTTGGAAATATGTATTTACATACTGAGATGCTTTTCTGGACAAGTGAGACTTCTTCTTTCTACTCTGGGAATGCCAGTGTCACTTGAGCTTTGCTTCACATTAACACCAACCTAGGAGGTGGCTCCTGTCCCTCCTCTGCCAGTCCCTGGCCACCACTCCATGGCTTTCACTGCCTCTTTCCAGCTGGTGGTGGGATACTGCCTCTAGAGCGGCTCTTTGTGGGCACCCTAATGGGAAAAGAAAACCACTTTGGTTCAAATGGACTTTTAATACACAACAGATGATGGTGAGGCTGCTGAGAAGTTCCCTGAAAGGGCAGTGTGATGTGCAGGGACAGTTTGGTGCGGTATGAGGAAAGCTCAACGCAGAAGAGCCCTGGATTCAAAACTTCCCCCAGTTTGAGTGTACGTTGCCTAAATTCAGCACTATGTCACCTGTGTGCAAAAATGGAGGTGGAGAAAAAGATGGTTATGTGACAAGGGTTTTCTAGGCCTTGAATTTCAGTTTCCTGTGCTTCAGCTTTCCCATCTGTAGAGTGGGAGGTGATGCTGTCTCCCATCCTCCAGCACCAACTAGGAATCGTCTTAGCAAGAACTCAGAATGCTGAGTGCCAAGGGCCGTGGAACCAAGAAGGAAATGGCAACGAAACAAATAGAGCTGCTCTGATTTACACTGGGGAAAAAGCAGAATCTGGGCACGCTGTCTCTGCTGTCTGGTTAGAAAGATTTCTCCTGTTTTGGGCTCCCCATGTTCATGCTTTGCCTGTTTAAATTCCTACTCCTTGCCTCTTACCTGCATTTCTGCACTTTCCTCTATTAGATCTACCCCTTCCCTCTTTCCTTTTCCCCTCAAATGGGTAAGAAATACGTAACTGTCTCTGTGGGAGACAGACCAGAGGAGTTCAAGAGGAGGTCCTGTTTTTGAAGTATGTCCTTGTACACATGGGGACATCACACCCACATGTGCAAGAGCCAGCAAAGACACCTGACGGCAGATTCAGAAATGGTTGTGCCTTCCTCAGCCATGCCCTGCTTTCCTGAGCTACTGAGTAATTCACAATCTTGTTTTCTTTTTTCCTTCCTTTTTTTTCCAGTGCCTTGGCTTTTCTCCAAGAAATGCCTTTATGTGCAGTGGGCACAGTTGCCTTGCTCATGATCCTGGGCAATATATCATTACAGATGGAATGAATTGCACAGATTGTCAGGTTAGGTTTCTTACCTTTGCGGATCCGTTCTGTGCTGCCCTCTGTGGCAGGATCAGCTGCCTGGAAGAGATGTAGGAGAGGGGGTGGTTATTCTGCGAGCAGAGCACTTGTGTGTTCAAGCAGATCACTGGTTTACTGTTGGATCTACCAGTTTCCATCGCATCTCTGAAAGGCAATGCAGAGCTAGCACCAGGTGTTACAGAGCACACGGCTCCAGTGGAGCATCACGGGGCAGGGACTGCTGAGGAGCACAGCCCTCCAGCAAGCTCTCTGTGCTTGGCCAAATTAGAATCACAGAATCATTACGGTTGGAAAAAATCTCTAGGTTGGACATCAAGTCCAACCATCAACCCATCCCACCATGCCCACTGACCACGTCCCTCAGGGCCACATCTCTACTGTTCTTGAAAAACTCCTTCCTCACTCATTCTTTGTCACAGTCTATAGAAATCTGTTTTTCTGACATAGTAATTCTCTAATGTGTGGCTTTTGTTTGTGTTGTTTTGGAAGCAGAAGTCCTGAAAGCTCCAATGTGGCTTTGAAACCTTGGAGAAGGACAGAGTGGGACTGGACACCCATCAAAGCCAGTGGGGTTCATCTGTGGTCCTGCTTTTTTTCTGTTCTGTTTCTCCTGGCAGAAATGAGGCAGACTGCATAGATGGGAGACAGCTTCATCCATGGTGTGCTGGAGATCTCAAGGGACTTAAAACATGAGTACTTTATTTCTAAGTGTAAGTATAACGTGTGGTACAAGAAGAAAGAAGACATTTGAACAGTGAGATAAGCCGTGCTGTGACCATTTCTGATACTTAATCTTATGGCCTTAGATGCTGAAGAATACATTTAATTAGACTTTGGCCTAACCATAGTTGAAGTGCAGAGCCATGTCTGCTCCAGGCAAAGCAATGCTACCATTTGGTCTAACAGCAAAACACTGTGTACCACAGATACAGATTGTGCAGCTGCTTTGTGATTTGGGCATCTCATATTTGTTTGCCTGTTTTCTCTTTTCACACTTATGTAAGACCAGGGAACCGTTATCTGTTGCTGAGCCAAAGACTTTCTCCAGGTGATCTTCCCAAGGAATGTGGGAAGGCTGCTGGGTTAGGAGCTGAACAACAACCTAGATCTGTAGTTTGGCAAATTTGGCATTTACAGGCCTCTTGGTCCCCTGCACAACGTCCTCCCTCCAAAAATCAACTGGTTCCCCTACGCACGTCTCATCAGATGTTGGGCTGGGAGCAGTTCTGACTGCAGTACTGCACAGGAGAACTGCTGGATCCTCTCTGCTCATGTCCAGGACCCTCGTATAGGGCTGTCTCTGTCACACACACTCAAAGCTTGGGGAAATGTTACTTTCCAATGCAATCTACGAGCATTTCTGTACTCTGCAAGGAATTAAAGGCCTTCATACATGGGACAGAGAGATGCTGTATACCCATGCTGAGTGATATCAGGCAGCAAATCCTCTGCTGCCTGCCAAGTGCTCGGTATGGTGATGTTGTTGTCAGGAGGCATTGGCCCAACAGCCCATTCTCAGAGACATGCAGGATGGGGCTGGTGGCTCACAGCTTGCTTTGTAGCCAGGGCAACAGGAGAAAAATGAAAACGAATTGACGTATTGTATCCTCACCTGGAAAGTTCCCCTGTGGCTGAAAACAGCAGATACCAATGCAGTTCATTTTGGTGGCAATTGACGAGGCATTCCAATAAAGCTTTAGAGTTTTCTCTGAAATACCACTTAGCATTGCTGTTTGCTAACAGCACATTGCTGTAGTGGTGTGATGTGGAATAGAAAGACACGCACTTGGAGCTCAAGGAAGTTACATTCTATAACCCCAGCTCAGGAACAATTCAGTACAATAAATTCACCCTGCCTGGGTGTTGATGATGAAGGATCTCGGTCTTTACTTGGCAACAGAGAGAGAAAATAATAAAGTGCACAGGAAAGTCATTTCTTTCTTCCTTCCCTTAAATATTTACAAGTAATTTTACCAAGCTGAGACACGCTGGTGCTGTTATAGAATCACAAAATACCCCGAGCTCGAAGGGACCCACAGGGATCACTGAGCCCAACCCAGCCCACAACAAGTGGCGAAGCTGCTGTCACGAGCAACTGCCGGAGTTTTCTCCTTTTTGTCAGGGCTGCCCGCCAGAGGGGGCCAGCAGGCTCCGGTGGGACAGCCGGTGTGGTTGGGAGGTTGGAAACAGGACCGCGACAAAACGCAGAGCGGTGATGTGCTGTCCCACATTTCACCCCAAATCTGTTCACAGAGCTGCACCCCGTGGGCTGGGTGTCCAATGCAGCATAGCTTGCAGTGCAGTGTAAGATCTCATTAAGATTGTGTGCCTAATAATTATTTTCATCCTTACTCTTTCACTGATTTCCACTCTATGATAGAGAGTTCATATTATATCCATATTCTCCCTGCATATATATAGAGAGATCTACATAGATGTGTATATATATACACATATACACACAAGAGCAGTGGGCTGCAGCAGGCAGAAGTGTGGGCTTTGGGGCCCTCCTAACAGGATTGAGTAGGAAAATGCAGGCAAAGGTCTTCTCTGCAGCAACTGTTCTCATTTGAGAGGAAAACAAAGTCAGTTCTGAGCGATGTAGATCAGTGAATGGCCCAAAGCCAGCTGCTTCTGCGGATGAAAGCTGAGAACTAAACTGACTTCAGTTCTGAATGTTGTTCCAAAAAAATGTCACTTCCCAGGTCTGACACTGTGCACCAATGCCTTTCTTGAAAACAAAATATCTAAGAGAAAACTTCTTGGGGCACTGGAAATTGCAGGGAAAAGAACAATCTGTGTTGTACCTGATTCAGAGAAACAGCTTTGGAATAATGGTTGACTTCTGTTGTTGTTGTTGTTCTGGTCTTTCACATATATTTCTGTTGCTCAGATCACCTAGATTTTGGGTGAGGGAAGAGCCTTGCTTCTACACAGTTTGATTTTCCCCTTCTCAATACACCCTCCTTCACCCTGAATTAGGCAAGCACAAATTCATCAAAGAGGTGAAGAAAGATGAGCAGACAGCTTCCACGCTGCTGCAATGGGGCTGGGGGGCTGTGTGTTCTGCATGCCACCAGATGCCTCCACTTAATGAAGTGGCAGCCAAGACACGAGTCACCAGGCCAGCACTGTGCCTGTGGTCCACTTGTAGAACCCAGCTGACATCTGGAGAGAAAACCAAATCACCCTAAAGGGTTGATCACGTAAAATGTTGATCCTCTCTTGAGAAGATACAAAGGTATGAAGCCAACTGGTGATGGTTTATTCCCTACAGCAACTGGACTCCCATAACCACACAACCCCCAGCCCTGGAGCTGCTGGAGTCATTGCTACGGGATGCTCAGCCCAGCCATGACTGCATTCTGCCCAGCCTTACGCTGCCGTTGCCACCAGGAGCCAATTGGTTTTGGAGCAAGCCCTGGTGATTCTTGAGGAGCCTCTCACACAGGATCAGAAACTCACACTTACTCCCTGGTCTATCAACTCAAGATGGAGATGGATGGAGAATGACCAGAGGATCTTAACGATTCAGCCTTAATGATTCCAACCTTAATGATTCTATGACTGTTGCTTCTGGACTGAGGGTCTCTTCGTTCCCCAAGAACAAGAAGCGATTGATGTTTTTGCTGCCCAGTTCCCCTCATACTGTAAAACTGCAGCTCTGTTTCTCACGTTTCTCTCACCCCTCAGCTTCCTGCCTTCTCGTTAAGCCAAGCTGTGTTTCCAAAGCAGCTGCAGTAATGTCATTACTCTTTTAAATGAAAATCTCAACTCTTTCAGTAATATTGTTCCTCTGGCAACTGGTCTAACTGCATTTATCCTGATGGAGAGGTAATTTAATGCTTACTTTCATAATAAGCACAAATGAAAGCCTAATTATATAGGAAAGCTCTGGCAATTCTGTAATTATCCAAGCTGTTATTTTAAAGATCTCCCTTAATACGCCAATATTTATCACCTGAAACCCCCCATGTCTCATTCTAACTGTGCACAAACTGCTTCCCTTTTGGAAGAGCACTGATTTCAGATAAATGACTCCTCACTGATACAACTTAAAGAAGCATCAGTCAAGCTTTAATGGCTTAATTTCTTGGTAATGTGCATACACGGACACACAGATTGCACAAGATCAATTTAGTAAGAGAATATATTGCACTGGGAGATCATATTTTGTTTTCCATGGCCAGCTCCCTTCAGCAGCCCCATGCTGGTGCTTTCTCTCTTTGAATCTTTGTGGAGATCCTTCAGCACTCAGATTTTATGTGTAAAAGCTATAAAATTTCTAATGTGGCGTTTAAAGTTCTCTCCTGTCTCCAAGGAAGACCCATAAACAGAGGCGACACACAAACCAGGTATCACACTCTGAGGCACTGATGTACCTCCACTGCACTTCTACGATCCAGCTGGACAGAAGGTGGATTGACTCTTGCATTACGAGCTTTCCAATTCCATTCTCAGAGAAGACACCACATGCTAGAAGTTAACCCATGGAGGAAGGATTTGTTTTTTTTAAAATTCTTTCATCTCCCTCTTTTTTTTTCTGCCTTTCTCTCCCCCTAATTCCTGTGTGCATTCATAACAGGGGCCAGAGACTGACCTTCCAGCCATGGGATAATTCTAGATCAAACTAGTAGAAGTTTATATTTGAAAGATAAATAAATAAGAAAAGAAAAAGATAATGAGTGAAGTGAGAATTGCTTACCGTCCTCCGGATAACTAAGACCATGACGGTGGCTAACGCAAAGACGAGCAATGCAACAAGGGTAGCGATGATGAAATACAAAAACGTTTTGTTAGTGGCTCCAAGCCTCCTTGAAACGGTGCCTTCATTCACATGCATGGCTGATTCATAGGAGTCTTTCATCTGAAAAAGTGTTTGCTCTTGTGCCAAGCACCTTCTTATATAGCTCTCAGGGTACTGGTCTGTATCTCCCCTTGATCAGGTTCAGGTCGCAGCCCATCTCTGTTCCTGGCAGGATTTTCCCCTTCATCCTGGCTCATGTGATCTGGAAAAAAAACTTCATCACTTGTGGTACGAAGAATGAGGGAGCTGGGGGCGTGAAGCAGGTCGCAGCTGTGAGAAGGGGAAGCAGCTTCATGTTCGTGATCAGGGATTTCGCGACAGCAGTCTTGTGTGTTGCATCGGAGGTTTCTGATGTCAGAAGGTGAATGGTTACTAAGATCAGTGCCCCCTCCCTGCTACTGGTTTTTCGTGAAAAAGAGAGCTATGCAAATTTTGTTTCATTTTATACTCAGTGCAGCTCTAGTTCGGTGCAGTACGCTGCCTGGAGCACTGCCTTCCTGTTGCACAGAGCAACCTCTTGTTCTCCGTACCATCCCAGTTCCGTGATCTCCAGAGCTCTGCATTCAGAGATTATAGAATCATAAAAGTTGGGAAAGACCTCTAAGATCGTCAAGTCCTACCATCAACACATCCCCACTAAAACATGTCATTCAGTGCCACACCTCCATGTTTCTTCAATACCTGCAGGAATGGTGACTCCACCACCTCCCTGGGCAGCTGTGCCAGGGCCTCACCATTCTTTCTGAGAAGTTTTCCCTAATATCCAACCTGAACCTCCCCTGATGGACCTAACGCCATTCCCTATCATCCTATTGCTGTTACCTGGTAGATGAGGCTGACCTCACTTTGCTGCAACCTCCTTTCAGGCAGTTATAGAGAGCATCCTGGACTGATCCATCCCAGTTACCACAGCCACTCTCCATCACACTTGTGCTCCAGACCCTTCTCAGCTCTGTTGTCCATTTCTGGACACTCTCCATCCTGGGCCTCGATGTCTTTCTCATAGTGAGGGACTCAACACTGAACGCAGCACTTGAGGTGTGGTATCACCAGTGCTACCAGTAAGAGGGATGATCCCCTCCCTGTCCTGCTGGCTGCACTATTACTGACACTGGCCAGGATGCCATTGGCCTTCTTGACCACCTGGGCAGATTGCTGGCTCACGTTCAGCTGGCTGTTGATCAGCAGTCTCAGATCCTTTTCCTCCATCCAACTTTTCAGCCACTCTGCTCCAGTCCTGTAGTGATGCGTGGGGCTGTTGTGACCTAAGTGCAGGACCTGGCACTTGGTCTTGTTGAACTCCATCCTATTGACCTCAACCCATCAATCACCCTGTCCAGGTCCCTCTGTAGGGCCTTCTTATGCTCAGGCAGATCCACACTTCCTCCCAACTTGGTGTCATCTGCGAATTTACTGGGTGCACTCAGTCACTCATTCAGGTCATCAATAAAGATACTGAACAGGACAGGACTCAGTACCAACAGTACCCTGTGGAACATCACTCATAACCAGACACCAGCTGGATGCAGCTCCATTCACCAGAATACTCTGGGTCAGGCCATCCAGACAGTTTTTTTAGCCAGCAAAGAGTCCAAGCCATGGGCTGCAGCTTCTCCAAAGACAGAGTCAAAGGCTTTACTAAAGTCTGGACAGACTATGTCCACAGCCTTTCCCTCATGCACAGAGCAGATCACCTCATTATAAAAGGAGATTGGGTTGGTCAAGCAGGACCTGCCTTTCAGGAACCCCGTGCTGGCTGGGTCAGAATCCCTGCTTGTGCTGCGCATGCTGTGTGATTGCACGCAAAGTGATCTGCTCCATGACCTTCCCTGTCGAGGTCAGGCTGTCAGGCTTGCAGTTTCCCAGATCTTCTTTCCTTTCATCCCCTCTTTAGGTGGGTGTCACGCTGGCAGGTCTCCACTCTTTTGTATTGCTCCTGCCTCTGAAGGTCTGCAGGTTTTCACAGAAATGCATCAGGAAGGTGCCTTTGGTACAGGATGCAATTTTTAGGCAAATGCAGAGAAAGAAGTCACAAGAAAGTAGACGAGCACAATGTCAGGATGTGCTCTGTCTTATTCGCAGCTGATCAATCAGCCCTGGCTTCTCTCTTGCCCATGATTCTCTCCTCAATTCTAGACTGGTACCAGCATTTAGCCATGGGGTTTCTCACGGAACCCAAGTGAGATTTCTTTCACTGGAAGTATTTCCACTCCTTTTCATTATGGAATCTCCAGTAACTCCTAACCCTGCCCTTTTTATGTGAGGTGAATCCTTGCCCTCAGACTAGTCCAACTCCAGAGACATTTGGTTGTCTTGATAGTTTTTGCAGTTAAATGAGTGCCCTCTTTTGATTCATATTTATTGAAGCCAGATAACTTGATGAGGGGCATTTTGTGTCTTAGCTATTCTCAGTCCACAGTCAGTGACATAAGTTCATCAGAATGGCCAAACAGGATCTTACCAACGGCCCATCTAACCTAGCAACTTGCCTTCAGTAGAGCACAAACAGAGCACAATGCCTCGTGAAAGATGTCAGAACAGAAAAAGCAGGGAAAGTTATTTATTGACTATTTATATCCAGGTTTCTCTGACTTCGGCATATAAGAGTTCCAAACCAGAGGTAGTACTTTTCTATTTAATCCAGTTCTGCTTAACTGCAGTGACTAGCAGCATCTACTATGCTTGAAAAGACCTTAAGCATCTCTTGCTCATAGCCAAGCAGGTATTTAGCTCAGCAAGGAAAATGACTTACAAGAGGATAATGGGGTTGTAGTTTTAAGAATGTCACACCATCTTCGGCTTCATGAGGGGAGCACTGTGAGCTTGCAGGTTTTTGTGGCTGCACAGAGATGTGCATGGTCAGCTCCTTTCACAAGGGCAGAACACTCGTGCTAAATCTACATGTAAGTAGAAAAGCAGATGCTGCAGTGCTGATAACCACAAAAGAAAAATAGATCAATGAAAGGGGGGGGGGGGGAAACATGGAAAAAAATTAGCTCCTGTCCTAAGAGGTGCAATCCAGATTAAATCTGGCTTGTTAGTTTCTAAAATAAATTCAGTCAGCCCATTAGCACAGCATTTGAAAGCAACAGTTGCTCGTGATCAAGCAATGCTGAGATCTGCTGAGATCACAATAAATAAATAAATAAATAAATAAAAATAAAAATTAGGAGACACAGAGCATCAACATTGTACAGTAGAGGTTACTAAAGCAGGAAAAACCTAAGACTGTCCCAAGTAACAGCAGGATGAATAGATTAGTCCCATCTTTCACTGAGGAGGGTGAAATACCTTGAAATACAGAAGGGAAATGTTGCTCAGCTGAGGCAAGTGTGCTGCTAAGGCAGATGGTGATTTTCAATCAGGACAAGAATGCAGGATGAATGAGTGCTTCTACTCCTGCAGTTCTGTCTTAGGCAGTAAATAACCACCTCACCTCCCTATCAAGCTGGTGGTGATGCACTTTCAAACATAACTTCAGTACAATGCTCTGTTACCCTTTACATCCAACATCTCTCTATAGGGTTACCACACCACCTGCCTGATAATGCTTCTTTCCCAAAGCTGAGGTCACTGCTTTCATGCCTTCTCACCAGCATTGCATCCATTCTCACAAGCCCTGGTTGAGAGGCCAAATAGCATTGATTCTTAATATGATGCACCTGCTGCATCCTCTGCAGCAAAGAGCTTTGCTTAAAAGGATAGGGAGGGAGAAAACAGATGAACCACAAAACCAGCAGTTCTAATGATTTCTTGGTAGAGTTTTCAAGTGAGCGTCTTTAGCAGAAAAGTACAAAATATCCTATCCCCTTATTAATATTTAGTTATCTCCTTCGCTGAAAGGAACCAAACTGCTGAGAACTGAAAGCACATCCATGTGGTCAACGGAAATTCACCTTTGTTTGAAGTCTGTGAGAACTGAAAACCCTTCTGGCAGACATTAAAGGCCAGTTCTGCAGAGACGTGTGGCCCAGCGACACTGAAATCCAGAGGTGTGAAGAGAACAAATGCCTTTGGGAGTTTCTGTTTTTATCCTCAATGGGAGCAGTGTCTGTTTCTTATCAAACCATCATTCACGTTTACATCCATACAGTTTGCTACCAGCGCCCCGTCCTGAGCTTTGGGAGACCTAAGAGGGCTCAGAGAACGTTCATCACAATGGATCGTTAATTACTGTGAATGCTTCCTAGCTGTGCCCCAATTAAGGGTCTCAGGCAGCGAACATGGGGCAGTCGGGCTCCTGCCTTCAAAGAGGCTGAACTGCACCCAAGCGCACATGCGGATGCTTTGTAAATCACTTGAAATGGAAATGCAACCTCAGTAAACCGAGGTTAGTGCAAAACATCATTGGCACTCAGGGTATGAATCATAGGTTTTTGAATTTCCTCCGATGAATCACTCTCCTGTGTTGTGCTTTGCTGTTGTGTTTGTCCCCAGCGCCTCAGCCCAAGCTGAAGGAGATGGGGCAGGGTCCTCCTGCTGAGCAGGACCCAAAAACTCTGTGGCATTGGATCCCATAGGAGTGGCACACGAGCTTGCAACCATGGATCAAAGAGGTCTCAACCACCTTACCTTACCTTTACTGATGCGTGGCAAGGAACGTTTCCTGTTGGTTGAGATGGTTATTATGGGATTCCCGTGGAAAATCAGCAATTCGGCTGTGACAAAGATTTCTTTTATATGATATTTCTTAGTAGCTGTGCCTATTCATTTCCTCCTGATCCAAGGTAGGTCCCAGCACGAAGTAAATGACACTCCAGCATCACACTCCCAACGCTGCTGTGATGAGACTGTTGGCAGTTGCTGTAACGCAGCTTTCCGAGGAAGGCTCTGCGTGTCTCTCATCCAGGCTTTCTTCTGCTTTTGCAACACGTTGGAAGGTTTCCAAGAATAGCAGTGTTCTTTTCTCATTTTGCTGCTTCTCCAATAAAATTACTGAATAAAAATAGGCACCAGACAGGAAGAAAATCAGAGAGAAAAAGATAGGTTAGAGCTGCTATTGCACACTATTACCTCCTTGGGAAGCTAAGCAGTGTTTATTCATGCTGTGCAACTGTTTTCCTTGTTGAAAAGAATTATACCACTCAGCCTTGTAAGGCAATAGAAAAAGAGGTAAATTAAATTAGCTGAAAATTGGCTATAGAGGGAAAGACATCTTCTTATACTGGGGGAGATACGTAACATCCATTTGCCTGGAAGTGCAGGTAGAAAGCAGAGGCATTAAGATTGACAATAAAATGCAATAATAAAGCAGTACAAATGGAACAGTTGTAAAAGTGCAGTAACTCCCACAGATTTGTCAGAGTGCATTTGTTCAACTGGAGTCCCAGGAATCCCAGGCAGCACCAGTTGTTCCCATGAAGCTTCCACCCCAAAGAAGGAGCTGCCCAACTTTTCTGGAAAATCTTTGCTATCTTTCAGCAGCATTTGCTGTTATGAGTCAACAGAAATGCTCTTTC